TGCCGCCCCTCAACAGCCCCTCCCACCATGGCTTCAGCCATCACGAACCCCGACAATCCGAACGTCCGCTCGACGAGTCGTGTAGACCCACGAATCGTGGATTAACAAGAGGTAATGGAAATCACGATGGCCCTTTGCTGGCGCACGCGTGGCCCGAACGACTCCACCTAACGCCGACCATGTACATTGTCAATATTTGACTTCGGGGCGTGGGCGTGCATCGCTCTCCCCGGCGATGTCGTGAAGGAAGAAAACTATCGTGATAGGACCAGGAATTTCTCTGAGGATGGACGCAGTCAAGACCATCCCCAGATGGCGTCACGGTCTACTAACTCGGGATCAATCAGTGGTCACCGCAGAAGCGCGCTACCCATCCTTTGGGCGACCTGACAGCACCGCATTGGGCCGACGCGCATATTCTTCGTGCCGAGAATGGACAACGGCGACTGGACGATAAGATAGGACGCCTACCATATGCCCAGCTTAAGTAGGTACCTTCTCAAGGTAAGATGGGTAGCTACCGATATCGCCGCATGGGTGCTCCGTGATGCATCTGCCATGTCTCACGTCCCACGGTCCACACATCCAACCAAACATCACGATGGTCAGCTGATAAGCCGCACTGATGGAGCCCCCTCCCCTCCTGCTCTCCTTCCTAGATGGATGCGTGACGCCGTGGGCGGTGAGATGGCCGGGTCTGACACTCGGGCGCATCCGTACCTGGCGCCGTACCACCTGATGCGCCAGCGCCCCAGATCCCTGGAAAGTTCCAGTGCATCTACTCCGTCTCCATCATCTAGGCGTGGCGTGCGATAGCGCCGTTGTCGGATCTTGGTCCGTGGTCCACGCTCTTGCGCTCCTCGGTTCGTGGCACCTCTGGCGCGCGCCTTCACGCCATTCGAGCTCGAGGACTGTGACAGAGGAGGAGAGGGCGAGGAAGGACCTAGAGCCCCCCTCCCCTCCCCCCGGATTTCCTTGACTCATCTGGGACCAGAGCTGTGATTCAGGGCCCTCAGGGTCGGCCCTACTCCATCGTTGTTCTTCTCTTCTTCTTTCATCGTGTCCTCTTCTTTTGCTCCTCTTGTTCTCTTCCTCTCCTCCCACCCAAAAATAGCCAACGGGTGAGGTAGTACCCTTGGGTGCACCCGCAAACATTCCTGAAGACCCCCGCCAAGAAATCATAAATCAGTAAACCCCGGCCACAATGACAACCATTTTTCGGACACGACCACACCCTCGAGCCTGCAGTGAACTCCTCGAACCGAGTTTCAACAGGATCTCAACCCAACCCAAT